AATACATGAAGACGGCTTTACTACAACATCGCATTTTCTAATAATTTGTTATTAGGACGTTGTACTCTAAAAATTTATCCATCAATACACTTTCAAATTTTGAACACATATTGCATCTTAATCAATAACTAGAATATGTATATCCATTAGGGTACATGATGATGGGGTATGTAATATGTATACCTTCACAACTCGAATATGCTAGTGTGTAGGAAAGTTTTTTGAAACTTTTAATATCAACAACATGAACTATATAGATTTTGTCGTGTATTTCCTCTAGTTTTATTGGTAGATCTCAAGTTCAAGTTGACATGGAATTCCGCTTTAAAACTAGATTTAAATCTCAAGTTGAATCAAGACCAAAATGCATTCCAAAAAAGAGGCCTAAGTGAAAGAAAAGTTTTGGACAAAATACAGAACAACACTCTTGAAAAAGGATGAAGAAGATAGTTCAACTTCCTTAAATAAAGGATATAATAACGAAGGGTTCCATTTTTCTTAAAAACAATCAGCGCATGTTTAGTGTTTGCCAATACAAAATAGGACAAGAAACCTATTCATGAAATGATTTTTTTTTTTGTAAACATATTTAAATGTAATGTGATCTTTTGTGTATATGTTTCCTTCATGAAATGATCTTCTTGGAACATTTTTGACTCGATGTGTAGTGTCTTAATTAAAAGTATAATGTTGTAACAAGGAACGAACATTTGATGTTAAACCGAAATAAAATCGATAAAAGAAATTAAGACAGAAAGTGTTCTATAAATGAATCTTTGCCTTCAAGACACCAGCCATCTATTTATAATAACTAGTGACACGTCGACAATTTGGTAGAACCCATATCACAAAATGATCTCAAAAGAGCACTAACAAGTCTTATAATATGTCATACAAGAAAAAATGGAAGAAATAGCATACCTATATATATCATGACATCCATTGAGTTTATAAACGAAACCTTCCTTTTTTTTTCCCTTAAAAAAGTACCCCTAATTCATCAACAATATTTGGTGTATAATGAAATTCAATCGATATTGTGAAATCCGGGGAGAAGAGAAGTAATGAAGCCAAAAACAATCAATTGAATCTCCTTCACAACTCCCCACCATCGATTATTGTTTCCATTATCAACTTCACCTTCTTCATTCCCATCACCTTCACGATTTTGGTTTTCATTTTCGCCTCCAACTTGTCCATCTAACAACAGAGTTTGTATCCCAAAATTAAAAAAAAAAAAAAAAAAAAAAAAAAAAAAAAAAAAAAGTTGAAACGTAAGAAATCGCAACCCACTTTTATTTAAAACCATTCTTAGTAATAGTTTTCTGATGTAATACACTGATTAATTATGAAATTATCAAAGGATGGGAAAAAAACTACTAGTGAGAGAGAAAGAGAGAGAATGAATACCTGGCAAAAGAGGATTTTCATGTTCTTGCCTTGCAGCTGGAGGGATGAGATCTGCTGCCCTAACGCCCGCTCTACCTTGTTGTGGAGGTGCACCCGCCCTTTGCATTCCTTGTGAGAGCCACCGTATTAATGGTGCGAGAGCGCCCGTCTGATACCTGCCACACACACACACATTTTAATAAGTAATAATAATAATAATAATAATATTATTTAAAGGAGAAATAGAAATATTAAGATAACTTACAGATAGATGAGTGAGGCAAAGAATATGAGCAGGACAAGCCTTTTCCTTGAGCCATCTTGATTGAACAAGAAAATAACAGCTGCCAGCTTTAAAATCAGCATCAAATCAAGATGAATTGCAATTTGAAACCTCCGAACCACAACTTGTCTTTGTTGTCCTGCCCCCTGCTGTTGCTGCCCGACCTGCCCGGCCTGCCCGACCTCCTCACCACCTGTTCCACCTTCAGTAGGACTTTGTCCACTGATACAAAATCAACACTTTTTTTTAATAACTTTATACTCAAATGAAACTACACAGCTATTTCTTTTCTTGCGTTTAACAAAAAGATGAAAGGTATTTACAAAATCCGAATGAATACTTACGTAGGGATATTGTAAGTAAAAGGGATGAGAGTATTAGTTGGAATTCCAGCAACGGGTCCCATGAATGAATTTGGAAAAGTGGGAACAGCGTATATTCCTGCTCCATGATCCATCTGATCCTGACCCTGTTGTGGAGGAATAAGCATTGGGTACATGATTGGATACATTGGGTGTTCCCCATTTGGTGCTGTGAACCCATAGAATGGATATGGAGGTAACTGCAAAGTTAAATGAATTATTAACTTCCAAAATTTTCAAAACTATAAATATCAGACTTTCAATGTTTGTAAGATTCGGATCCATGTTATCCATTTTCTTATTAGCAATAGCTACAAGATACACTGATAGAACATCAGATTATACACTTCCATGTTGCACATATATATACGTCAGATAAAAGAATTACTCCCTATGCTTAGCTCCAGAAGTATATACAAAAATCGAATACTTCGACACAATTTGGGAACTATAATAAAGTTTGTTACAAGTGCTACGAATAGGAAACTGTTGGTGTCAAAATTATAAAAACATTCTACATCAAATCTACGCCTGCTAAGTCAGAGTTATCTCATTCTGAACGCAGGGAGAATTGCATATGGTTCTTGGCAAAATTTGACATCAATTTGGTCTTTAGGGTTTTGAACGAATTACCAAAAGTAATATTTTACATTTTAACTCAAACTAGTTTAACAATTCTGCTACAGATCAACGTCGTCATCTAGCCACAAACACACAAAAATTAAAACCACTCAAACGATTGGGAAAATGTAACAAAAAAACCCTAAAACTGATCTTGATTGAAGCTCGCAATGTCAAATCACATATTTGAAATCAATAGAGGTTCCAAACCTGCTTAGGATCGGATTGAGAAGAATTAGAAGACGGATTGATATGCTTCTCGGATCCTGATGCTGTTGTTATTGTCGGAGTTTCGGTTTCTTCGGCCATTTTTGTTTAGAATTTTGTTAGGAACGCAAGTGTCTCGGCGAGCTGCTCCGTACGAAGGTGGGGAGAGTCATCGATTCTTCTATTTGCGTGGTGAAACCAATAACATCATGCCATGTGTGCAATATGTATTATTAGATTATTAATTAAAGGGAAATTCATTAAACTAACCATTATAAACAAAATATTTTAAACAAAAATATATAACCATTTTTTACGTATTAAAAAATGTTCGCTTACTTTCAACACCCAAGGGAGTGGTTACGTGAAGTAAGTCCCCCCTTATTCCCGACATGCTATGGTGCCCGGGGCTGTCTCGCGAAGATCTTCGATCCGAACCTTCGCATTTACTCTCTCTTAGAGTATGAACCACGCCTTCCCCTCGCTACTGCTAAATCTCGCTATCGCAAGAATATAGCGATCGAAGAGCGATGGCTCGGCTGCATCGCGTATTGCCCGAAGGGGGCATGCTGCAAGAGCGTAGGTTAGTGATAAGCTAAGACTAATGAATATTTCGGAGTTGGTGGTGGTTGATCGTAGTCTTGTTCATAATCTAGCACTCTCATACATTTTGGAATGGAAAAGTGCATTATGTAGCATAATCCGTAATATACGGACATTTTGAACTAAAGTTCCTGACATTTTATATTATGACATTTGCAGGGACGGAACTAGAATTTTAGATTAACAGGGATTAAGGCATATATCGTAAAAATATAAAGGGGAACTTTGATTGATAATACACTAATACAAATTAAGTTGGGGGGGAACACTCACTAGCCCCCCTATTGGCTCCGCCCCTGGTCATTTGTATTGTCATTGTTAGGTAAATCTATAAAGCTTTTGGATACTAAAAAAAAATGAGTTCATATAAGGAAATGTTTAGAACATGAATGAAGGGATCATGCAACATATTGCTCCAGATTATATATGTTTTGATGTAGATGTAAGTGGTAGTTTCAATATTTTTTGGGTTATTACGCTGACTGCTTCCAAGTTTAGGTTACACACCAATCAAATATGTCCATTCTTTCCATGTCATGGATCAAACATAGTTATGCATATTCTTAATAATATTGATGTCAAATATTTTCTTAGTTTGTTGGTAGTATGCATCCTCACAAAATACAACCGTTTGTTGTTAATCATGCTATGAAAAGTGGTATTCATCGGTTTCTATGGAAAAACGTTATGATGATAATGGGTCTTCCGATGCTAGATATAACCAAATTTGTAATTTATTACCTATGATATTAAATCATATTCCTTCTTAGAGTGGATGTGTAGAAAAGATGAGTTTAGCTATAAAGGTAAGGTTGTTGATGATGATACTCCAACATTTGATGTTGATGAATTTGCAAATGATAAGGCAAAACTAATATTGTTGATGATGATGGTAATATAATTTCACATTGATACCTGGTTGAACAGTTACAGAGCTTCACTAAATTTGCTAGAGATGAGACGAAATCTGAAGATGAGGAAATTGAGAACTGATAAACCCGAAAACCCCGACATGGAAAGTACCATTATTTATTATATTTTGAAGAAAAAAAAAACTACTCATTAGGGATGTCTGAACCCTTACCATTGCCTGAATTATCATAATAAAAACGTAAAAGGTTTGTAGCCCATAACTATTTTTCATATGTGAAGCTATTTCAACTGTTAAAAAACAAAGAAGACCTTAAGCTTAACTTGATATTCAAATTTTCTACTGAGAGCTTTCAAATAAAAGTGAGGAAATCTACAAAAGACATGTTTGAAGTTGTTTGCTTTGTAAAAAAATGCAGTCGTTGCCAAAGGATCTGTCACACAAATAGAAATTGTGACACTCTATATCCAGCATATTCAACTGATAACGAATCATCAAGTAAAACCAAGTCAAGTATCAAAAGTAAAGTTAAACCTAATTACAAAGTTAGTCAAAAATAGTCTAAGAGTAGGATATTATTGATATAAAACCCATAGTCATGTTTCTACTAAGTTTGTAACTTCTAAAATTAAATTAAACACGTTCATCAGTCAAACATACTTGTTTATCTTACAACAAATAAACAAAGAGAATCTTCCATTGACCTTTCTCTCCCAATCCAAATATACTTCTGGATTGGGCACACCAATGAATTCAGGAATTTGTTGACCTTGCAATCTTTAGTAACCCTAAATTGCCCACGCCTAGCTTGCCTCCTATCTCCTTCTTGCAAGTCACGCAAAGCTTCACGCAAGACATTAACGAAATTTGGATCATCAAAGTTCATGGCTCCTGATGCGATTTCAACAACACCAACAACACAATCTGGAAATCGAGTAAAATTAAATAACTTATCAAGAAAATCGAAATATGTGCTCTGATACCACTTATGATATGAATATGCAGGGGGTTTGCTTTCAAGTAATATGAATGCAGCGAAAATAATAACTTAATCAACAAGAAAACAAGAAAATATAGATTTAATAAACAATCTAGACCTATAGATTGAGTATTGATGAAGACAAATAGAAACCTATTGATTTGAATTCAAATCAATATAGAAAACGCGTCCTAGAAATGACAAATGGCGAGTAAGCAACTCAAAAGAACACCAAAGCTCTATTATTCAAAATTCAGTCATGCATTCATAAAGTTCGACAATGGGGCTATTTTATAGCCTGAAAATGATTACAAAAAAGAAACCACCTATCAGAGGCTTACTGGAAACTAAAATAAATAGAAGTAAATATCGATTCCAAAAATAAAGAGAATATTCCATCCTTAATCCATGCAAGTTACCATGCAAACCCCACGCGCCATTGATTCTAACAAGTAGACTTTGTATCCCATAGTAAGCATCAGTCGTTCACATCGAATAACTAGAGACGGTGATGGATTGCGATCGTTCGCAACCAGTCGTATCCAATCGCAACCAACACCCTCCTCAGAATTAGAACTCATTTCAGAATTTGAATTTGGATATGTGCCTTCCAATATCTTCCGATCTTCGCAACCAATCGGAATTGCAACTTTTGCTCCCAGACGCATTTGACGTTCGGAACCAACACTCAGTTCAGAACCAACACAAAGTTCGGGAACTACCCCTCCTTACTCCCTAATAGGGAATTAAGAGATAGGAGTGCAACTTGCCTTACTATAGGACAAACCACATTCTGCATTTCCTTGTTCACTCTATCGGATTAGGGTATCCCTAAACAATAACGTAAAATAAGTAATGTCTATGTAATAAGAGAGTTAGTGTAACTCACCTCCTTGAACTTGAAACTTATCTAGCGGAAGCTAGATGAATCCTTTCCTTAAAGAGAACCTACACAACAATTATAACATTATTTAGTTTGTGCTTTGATATATTACTCTTATAATGCGTATGTACATATCTCCTTGTTTTCTCTTTGATTTTTGTGTTATGTTCGAAATATATTTTATTACCTATCAAGGATTTGGATTCAAGAAAAATGATTCAAAATTTGAATAAAGTAGACACACTAAGCTTTCCATAAAACTGTCTCATTATTTTTAGGTATTCTAATTGCCTTGTACAAATTTTAGAAGTTAAAGGGTAGAATTGGAAAGATTAATCATAATAGCTTTTAAGTCACATTTAATGTCTCATTAAGAAATTAATGGTTAAGCTTTAGTCTTAGCACTTTATACATAATAATTGGTTACATATAATGTTTCCAAAGTGTATTAGTCATCTTTACTCAAAATTCTTAATGCATGACTTAATGAAATATAAAATTAGGGCTTAGCCATGAATTATAAACTTTTACATATTTTAGGGTTAAGCTTCCATCTTAACCCATTAAGCTCTTTATGGCATCTAGAACTGAATATGGGGCCTTATACAGAACCATCATTTATTGGTGGTTCGATGGTGGTGTTTTGATGGTTAGTGGTGGTCAAACCACCATAAACAAAAGTATGTTGTTATTATTGGTTTGCCATAAATAAAAATTATAAGATTTCTTGTTTTTTTTAGTCTAGGGATTTCCATTAACAACTAACCCACAGCCACCTACCCATGGTGGTTTATGGTGGCAGGAAGTGTCACACACCGACGACAGGAGGCTGCCGGTGGTGGCTTTATGGTGGTTCACAGCGGTGACGAAAGAAAAACCATACATAACACACACACGAAACACTCAAAAAGGAATTACTTATGGACTTTCACATCAACACACACGCACACAACCACAACCACCTAGACTGTGTTTGATAAGTGTCTGACCGAGTCGAGTCAGACAATTTTGGCTGACTCGGTCAGCTGAAGGCGTTTGATAATTCAATTTCGGATGTCTTTCTCGGAAAGAAACCTCTGAGTGGGTTAGAAGATAAAAACTTGCTGAGTGAGAAAGGCATATGCGGTTTCCAAAATTACCCTTGTGACCTAACGTTCCCATTCTTTCTTCTCTTCCAGCAGCCTCCTTCGTTCTTCTTCTTTCAGCGCCTCCTTCGTTCTTTTTTTCTTCGTCTTTCAGCGCCGGCAAAAACCTCTTCCTCTCCCTCCGATTGATCCGTCCTTCATCTTCTCTCATCAGGTAAGCTTCTACCTTTTTCCTCCTTCTAATCACTTCCTTTGTTCTTTTTTCTTATTTGCTGAAACAATTGTTGTTCTGTTGCTGTTATGTTGTTATAATCTTGTTTTATAACTGAATATTGTTGTTTTGTTGCTGTTATGTTGTTGTGATGCTGTTGTTTGCTGTGATGTTGTTCTTTGTTGTTTTGTTGTTGTTTAAAGTTCCGATTTTTATTGCTATGCTCCAATTCAATTCCGATTTTTGATGTTATGTTCTTGCTTGCTGTTTGATTTTTTAACATTTATGTTTTGTTTATGAGATGAAGAAGATGAAGAACCCGCAAATTGATGAAGAAAATCTGGATGTGGGTATACTTAATTGCGACCGATTAGATCATTTGAGAGGTGAATTGAATTGGGGGTTTGATGAAATGAGAAGTTGGAGTCTAAAATTGATGGGAGTCATAAAGCCATTACTGAAAGTCAAACTCTTAACGACTGGGCCTTCAATGAAATGTGAATATTAGTTTGAGGGTGTGGACATGAATTTGACAATTGGCACAATTTTAATATTGCAATTCATCACAGCTCATATTTCATGTGAATTTTAGATTTTGTGTTTAAATTCTGAGTTTATATATTCCAATGATTATTAGTTCACTTACCTTGGTAATTTTTAATGTTTTTGCATCATAAATTGTAGTAGAAAGCTTATTTTTGTCAAAGTTTAATCATCTGTGTAAAGCAATTTCATCTATCATTGTATAAAACATCAGGGGTAAAATGGTCATTTTGCATCGGTCAACAAATTCAGTCAGATGTACAATCAAATAATATGGTTTCTTACTCGGTCAGAACTTATTACTCAGACAGACTTTTTCAGTCAGTACTTTTTCAATCAGCAACTATCAAACGGGACCCTAGTGGTCGTGGGTGACGATGAAGAGAAAACACACCAGCAGCCTAGGCTACCGGCCATGGCAACGATGGTGTTTCTCAAGAAAAAAAAAAGCGAAAAGAAGGAGAAAGGCATACCTCAGGCTGGACGAAGATGGCACGAGCTTCTCCCCCTTCCTCCTCCTTCGATGGTAGCTAAACTTCAACAGACAACAGCCCTCCTTCACCTCGTCGCAACTCGTTCGTGGCCACCAAAAACGAACGAAACAAAGACTAGGCTGATTAAGTTTAGAATTTGGAGGGTACATGAGCTAATAGGACCCATCGGCCCCAAGAAAAGAGCCCAAACAGAATCCCGTCGTTGTTGTGGGGATATTAGCAAAATTTTCACTTTTGTCCCCAAACTTTTTCATGATAACAATTTCTACCCCTAAAATAAAACTCTTGACAAAGGCAGCTTTAAATCTTGACCCCACACTTTTTCATAATAACACTTTTTCGTTTTATTCACTGCTATAATCCTTTAGATTTTTATTTTTATTTTTTAATCCCAATTAAAGTTATTCATTTTAATTAATACTTGGTTCTTGGATTACCAAATGAGAATTAGATCGTTATATGGATAAACCCATAAAGCTTTTTGATACTAAAAGAAATGAATTCGTATAAGGAAATGTTTAGAGTACTTGTTTCTAATGGAGAAAACAAATGGAGAGTAATGAACACGAATTGAGAGATCTATATAGTATATCAATCCAGACTATACATGTTTTGATGTAGATATAAGTATTGATATCAACTTTTATGGGTTAATTATGTTGGTTGCTTCCAAGTCCCTAATCAAACATATATCTATCTCTTCAATGTTCTCAATTATACATAGTTATGCATATTCTTAATGATAGTGATGTTATTTTTTTTTTTTAGTTTTGTTAGTAGTAAGTCTCCTAACACAATACAATTGTTAATCATGTCATGAAAAGTCGTATTAATCGATTTTCAGGGAAAAATTATTATGGTGACAATGGGTCTTTCGGTGCTACGAGTAACTAGATTTGTAATTTATTACATATGTCATTGAATCATATCCCTTCTTACAATGGGCATATAGAAGGGGATGATTTTAGGTATAAAGGTAAGATTGTTGATTTTTCTGCAACACTTGATGTTGATAAATCTACAAATGATAAGGCAAACTAATATTGTTGATTAATGATGGTAATATAATTTCACAGGGAGACCTAGTTGAACAATTCCAAAGCTTTACCGGATTTGTTGAGGATGAGACTAAATCTGAAAATAAGAAACTAAGACCCAACAAGTCTGAAAACCTCGACATGAAAAGTACCGTTATTATTTTTCAGCTTCTAAAAAAATACAAATTACTCATTTGGAATGCATGAATCCTTACCGTTTCCGAATTATCACAATAAAAACGTAAAGGTGTTGTAACCCAAAATTATTCTTGAAATGTAAAACTATTTCAACTATTCAAATACAAAGAAGACATTAAGCTTAGTTTGGGGTTCAAATGTGCTACTAAGGGCTTTCAAATAAGAATGAACAAAATTCCAAAAGAGATGTTTGGAGTTGTTTGCATTGTAAAAAATACAGTCGTTGCCAAATGATCAGTCACACAAGTAGAAATTGTGACTCTTTGTATCCAGCATATTCAACAAAAACCAAATCATCCAGTAGTACCAAGTCAAGTGTCAAAGATGAGGCTAAGTCTAATGTCTAAGATAGTCGGAAAAAAAAGTCAAGAGTATGATATTATCGATCTAAAAAACTCAGTCATGTTTTCTGGCAACTATGTAAGTTCTAAAATTAAATTAAACATGTTCTTCGGTCAAATGTATTGTTTACATTACAACAAACAAAATTGTCTCAAACATACTCAAAAGCCACAAAAAAAGGTAAATATGTTGTGTCCATCCATGCCCAACTATTACCTGATAGACTATGATGATATCGACAAGATGCCTTCTAAAAAAACCGCTTTGGCGCCCGGTTGGAAGGGATAAAGGAAAGTGAGCTACATCGTCGGAGAATAAGCAAATGACATTAAATGACTTACATTATTTACGGTGGAAAATTGATGAATACCTTCAACTACAAGAATATAACATAACATTGCTTTGAGACGTGAGCATTAGATGTTACTAATATGTAAATTCTTAAAATGCCAATCGATGTCTCTAAGACAAATACCTCAAGATTATGTTACCTGTGAAAATAACGATCCAGGGAAAATATACAAAAAAATTTATATGTAGATTTTTATTTATGTAATGTCTTTTACTTTTAATTTTTATTTATAGTCTTATGTTTTATTTATGTAATGTCGTTTTTTTTTTAAATGATTATTTTTATTTTAATTAAATATTATGTAATGTTTTTTAAAGATTATTTATATTAAATAGATAAATAGCTACTAGGTGAAATTTAACTTTGGATACGTGCAATTTTCTAGGGTAAGTGATGTTGAGTAAATGACAAGCAACAAAACTTCATGGTGTTAGGCTGAGCATGGGTCGGGTTTGGTCGATTTTAGGGTAAAACCGAACCCAACCCATAAATTTCGGTTTTTGGGTTTAAGAATCCGTTGGGTTCGGTTTTAAGTCGATTTCGATTTTTGAGTTTGTAGGTCGGTTTCATCGGTTTTGGGTTCAACCCATGCGTTTTGAGTTTTGGGTTTAACCCGATGGGTTTTGGGTTGTAACCCATTTTTAGCAAATTTTTATGACTTAAAAAATAAAACAAAATTAACAACCCAGATTAAAAAACCTAAAAAAACCAATTACAACACCAAAGTCTAATGATAGGTACACTTCAAAGTCGGTTTTGATTCGGTTTCGGTTTTTCAGTTTTAGTTTTACTCACCCCTACTGATGGGTACACTTCAAAGTCTAATGATTCATTTAACTTATTTTATTATATTTAACTTTTAAAGTTTTATTAGTTCTGACATGTTATTTTCTTCTCAAATTTTCTCAAATATTAAATATTAACTCGGAATTAATCATATGCCATTTTTATCGTTTCTTATTTTTATAGTCATATACGTAATGTGGTGCGATGGGATAAAAATGAAATCCGAACTATAGATTTAGTAGTATTTATTTTAATTTCGTGTATTGTATGTAATATATTGATTTAATTAAGGTGTTTTTTTGTTTTTTTTTTCTAAAAACCAACTTCTAACTACTTATTGCTGCGCCACACAACACTTGGTCATTCGCAACTGTTTGTTTTTCAAAAAACTTCTAACTTAAAAACTGTTGCGCGTGTGCTGCGTGACGCAACACTAAACCATTTGCTTCAAACATTCACACCTTACTTTAACTTATTGCAACAGTCTGCAAACGTTAAAAAACAAACAAACTTTTTATTACATGTTGCAGCCGTTTGATCTATATTTTAAACTACAGAGGGTTGCAGAGGTGGTCCGTAGACTTCAGACATTATCTCTTCGAAAAAACAAACAACACTTAAATATTATTGCTCGAAAAAACAAACAACACTTAAATATTATTGCTAATTAACTTTATATTTTATAAATCAAATATTACATTTGCTTTAAAATAACAAATTATAGCTTTATAAAATATGTCACAAAGATGAGAGTATATTGGTTAAATTTAAAAAAAAAAATGATCAATAAGTGTAGAAGGTTTAAGTTACTAACATTTTTAAAAAGTTTGTGGAAATGATGTGACAAAAAGAAAAAACATACATGAGCTCGATGATTTGAAATGCCTTAATGTTGAGAGGATGACCAAAAATAAAGTGGGAAGACATGAAATCTTACCATACAATATGTCATATAGGTAGGTAAATGTTCTTTTCCATCATGAATACCAATAGTATAATGGTATTTGTCTATTTGATATGAAGGAACATATTTTTTTCGAAAAACATGACTTCATATAGAAACGGGACAGATTGTGGTGTAGCATAGGTCCTTGTTTAGGTCGTGTGTAAATGTGTAATATCTGTATAGTTTATTATTCTCTGCCTTGGTACTCATTAAATATTTTTATGCGCTGTTTGTATTTATTTGCAGCTAATGTTGTTTTTTACTACTTTATTCAACTTGCATATGCAAGATGTCATTCTAATGCAAGTGAAACAGAGTCCCTTTACCTCCGTAAGGGTAAAGGTATGCCTAACATCTACCTCTCATACTCCATTTTGAATGAGACAGTTGATTGGGCTCTTTGTGTGCATGGAGTGACTTATATCACCCAATTAATAGGGTGTTTTTTTTTTATGTACTTGATTTAACTGTCCTAGGTTGTTGGAATAATAACTTCAAAAAAAAAAAAAAGGGGTAAACCACTCACTCACATAACATGGATTTCAAGAAAAAAACGTGGAAACAAAATATATGCATTCTCTAATAAAGTTTTACTATATCCGAGAACTACAACACTGCAAATATAAACCAACGGTGTTTAACACAATCAAGGTAACACAATGGATAGAATCAATAAATTTTTACCATTTCCATATATACATATATGTATTTTATATATATCGCATTTAAGGGGTCATTCTCCTTCATGGTTGTTGGAGCCATTCCTGAATGGCAGACCTCAGGGCGTGATTAGGTACAAGGTTGGAGTTGACCAGGTCAAGGTTGGTCATGGGTGAGGTGTTATGCCCGCTGTCTAACCATCCTTTTAAAGCTTCTGCTTCGTAAGTAAATCCATCCGCAGCAACCACCGGATCTTGCATGATTTCCTGTATAAGAGTAAAATCGTCATTTTTAACTATCATATTGTTCAGACACTTGGTCAATGCAATAACATAATAAAACAGTCTTTGTTCATACAAAACACTTTAGGAGTACAATGCTCTAACGTAAAGATAAACAAGTAAATGAAACTATGCGGCTATGTCTTGCATTTAGCCACCAAAAATATAACCCAAAATCAATCCATGTTTCATATAAATGAGTTGAAATTACCCCCAAAAGTAAGATAAGAGAAAGCAGTAAAAAAAAAAAAAAAACAAACCTGAAAGATTGGACAGATGAAGTAATGTGGAATCTGACATTGTCCATCCGAACCAAATCTAAAGGAAGACAATCCACATGACACCCTCATTGGTTCAAGCACCCTCCATGCCTCAGACGCAAGATCCGGTCTATTCTCACGAACACTATCACAACAATTCATCGCTAACAAAGCCAACTGTTGAGCTTGCACAAATGGCCAATCGCCAGCTGTCGGATCCAAAACACTCTTCAAATTCTCTTTATTCATCGCATACTGCACTTCCTTCCTCAACCCCAAAGCCGGTTTCCCCGTCAACAACCTCAAAAGTATAACACCAAAAGAATATGTATCTGATTTCGAAGTCAACTCTCCGGTTGAAAGAAACTCCGGATCCATATACACAAAAGTCCCCTTCGGATCTGTTCTGCAACATAGCGATGTATTGTTGGATGTTAATTCGTTTTCTGAAAGGACGCGACAGATTCCGAAATCGCTTAATTTGGTGACGAGGTTTTGATCGAGGAGGAGATTAGCTGGTTTTAGATCGCCGTGAATGACGCCGCATGAATGGAGGAAGATGAGAACGGAGCATAACTCGGCGGCGATTCGGATTCGTGTCTGCCATGATAATGGCGGAGTGTTGTTTTTGCAAGTGAGTCGATCTTCTAAGCTTCCTCCTGAGAGATACTCGTAGATGATTATCCAAGCGTCTGGACATGCTCCGATTAGGGTTACCAGATTTGGGTGCCTCAGTTTGCTCAAGACGCTAACCTGAATATAATTACACACAAGATAAGTTCAGATACATTATTATTATTAAAAAGACCAAATTACCCTCAGTAAAATACCATTTTGGTCCCTCTACTTTACCCAAAATTACAAGTTCGGTTTAACTTGCATTAACATTTCAATTTCAAATCGTATATAAGTAAGAAAAGGGCAAAACCGACATTTACCTCTTGTTGAAATTCTGAAGGTCCTTGCAAGCTATGAGAATGCAACATTTTAATAGCCACTTGAGTATGCCTAAGTGACCCCCTAAAAATACTTCCATACCCTCCTTCACCAATCTTCAAAGACTGATCAAAATTACACGTGGCATCTTTAATTTCTTGGAAAGAAAACTCGGTATAAAACTGAGCCATCGCATTTGAACTGGACCCTTCATCTCGTCTTTCCTTCTCTTTCATGTCCTCTAAAAGCCTAATTGCATCATCACATTCCACTTGTAATTCATCGCGTTCCTTTTTGTAGTTTTTCAAAAGGTCAACAGCTGAGAACATTTTTTGCTCAAGTTCGTTGACCGTTTGGTCAACGTCTACGATTTGAGTTTCGAGATGTGATTTTTGTTGGAGTGCAATTTGGAGTTCTTGTGACACTTCATTTAGTTCCTTTTTGATGCTTTCGTGTTCTTCTTTGGTTTTTTCAAGTGATTCGTTGATTTCATGTCGCAGTTTTTGTTCGTTTGTGTATAAGGCTTCCGATGCTTTGACCTGTCAAATTTTACAGATTATATCTTTTAAAGTTATATGTTATTGAAGTGCACTGTGATTATAAGACCATTCACATCAGTACAATCTTTTAATTGTATCATGTCAGCTTGTGACAAATCAACACCTATTTTTTACTTTTTAACAAATATATCATTTATCTGTGCCAAAAACAAATCAATTATGATGCTATTAAATAAAGAGTAAATTACTGAAATCGTCCCTAGGGTTTGGTCAAATTTGCATGTTTGGTCCCTAACTTTTTTTTTGCCCTCGGATCGTCCATGTGGTTTGATTTTATTGCGTTTTTCGTCCCTATGGGTTAGTCAAAATTGCACGTTTAGTCCCTAAGTTTATGTATGTAACTATGTAAGGGACGAAAAATGCAACAAAATCAAACCACAGGGACGATCCGAGTGCAAAAAAAGGTTAGGGACCAAACGTGTAATTTGACCAAACCATAGGGACGATTTCAGTAATTTACTCTTAAAAGAAACAATGATGTGTGTATTTTAACTTTTTATTAATCGCTCTGTATGCTTTAATATTATTGTATTTGTTTTATAATGTAGAACTTAGGTAAAAAAGTTACAAATTAAATTTTATTTAATATACAAATATATTTATACAATAACCAATTATAATGTATTATATTAAAAAAAAAACATTATGCTATTTTTATGTCCATTAAAACCATTATATTTTCTGATTTTTGTCAAATAAATGTTTCCAACATGATCTCCTAACAAAACAAGTTGCATACCCTACGAAGAACTAAAAAAATCACATGAGATTATTAATTTTCAAAAACATTAATTGCTATTCCAATACCATTTTGCCAGAAACTGTAATGTCATTAATTTCTAGAAACTTCCAAATAAGGTTTTATAATTTAAATCAATTATGTCATATAATCCTTTTTAACTCCATGTAACCGGAAAGCATTAATTTAACCAAAATTTGTAACGGACACAAAAATAACATAAATGTTTTTTTTAGCATCAGAGGATAATATGTTGGTTTTTTCTAGTGTTTTCCCTTTAAATTAATTAAACGTAACAAAAAATGACAATGGTTTTTCAATTGTATAGTTTTTACCCTTCGTTTAGCCTCCATGGCAGCTTTTTCTGCTTTCCTACGCCTTAAAGACTCTTCAAATGCATCTCGTTTTGAATTATCTGCTTCGGCCATTGCTTGTACAAGTTGATCATAAAGCTCATCATTCACACCTCTTTCCTGCTATACATAGTTTCATGTATAAACTCTTCATTAATTTGATCATGCAAAATACTTTCATTAAAATACAAAAAAAAAAAGGGTATCATAACACATACCAAAACACTTGGAGGTGAAGTATGACGAATATCAATATCCTCTTTAAATCCATACTCCAATTCAATTTCACCACTTTCAATTATTGCATAAGGCTCCACCACTTCACTAGAACATGTAGACAATCGAGACCCTGTTGAAGGACTTCGACTTCTCTGTGAAATCCCACTCCATTCATCGGATGTTCTTCCTACACTTACCCTACTTGAAGAAATTAACTCAACATTAAAATTTGGTGAGGTTTTAATCCCACGGTTGTCGGACATGGCTCTATGGTAGTCTCGCATTGGACTATTAAGGGGTAATCCCGTAATTTCACTAACGGATCTTGACCTCAAGGAACTCGGTCCGGAATTAGAGGTTGTGTTTGGTTGCAGTGATAGAGATGAAAGTGAAACATTAACTCCATCTACTCTTCCTTGTCTACATTCATATTAGTAGTATTGTTAGTTGATTGATTCTTTTTTACTTAATTCAAAAAGAATGACACATAAAGAGTAATATAATACCTAGTGAAAATGATGTTTCCTTTGCATATGAACTGAATCTGACATGAAGCAGCTGCTTGTAAACGTACATAGATGGCTTTCTTGGACTTTAAGTCAACCATTTTCCTATATTATTATCAAAGGTGTAATAGTAAGCATAAAAATGTAATATTGATTTAAAATCAAAAGTTTTTATTTTAAAACTTGCCTTGAAAAATGCTTGTCTGCAGCTGCCCCCATGACAAGCCTTCTGACATTGTGATCGATTATGAATTCAACAATACCTTTCTCAATAGAATCGTTATCAACATCATACAACTCTGCAGTCACCTAATTTAATTTAAAGATTCGAGATCACATAAAGTAGGGTTAAAAACGTAATTTCAAGATTCAAGACTCGCTTGTTACACAAGATAGGACAAAATATGTTGGTGTGGAGTGGCACTTATGTCAATAGTACAAAAGTTGCAATTTTTTGTGGGATAGGAACTTGATTTTAATCTCTTGTTTGTGCAAAAGACGTGAATACCCTCCTCATTCTCATTGAAAATACCCCTAGAAAGCTTGTAACAAAAGTTGTTTGAAGGAACATGAAAGTATATAATAGTAAATAGTAATACCCCTGCATTCCGACATATTTGATTATATTCATCAAGAAGTTGATGCATATTTTGCTTCTCTTTCTCATGGTATGATGAGACTTGATGTGCTTCCAGTTGGTTTATTCGAAACTTTGTGCCCACTGCAAATTAGAATATACATTAAAAAAATTGTGTACCAAAACTGCCCTTAAATTTTTTATAAACAAACTTATCAATCTAATAGCATGAATCAAACAACAACAAAACTATTTGAATTCCATGATTGATTAAGGCACAAAAAAGAAAGAAACAATAGGGGAAAAAAGGAGATTACTAATAGGGATCTTGTCTGCAGGTTGATGAACATGAAGGATGCATATCTGTCTGCCTCCTGAGTTGCGTAGTGCCCATAGCAGAGTTGACTGACTCTCTTTCAAATCTTTCCCCACTGCCACATAAATTTTATCTTCAACTTCTCTAGGAGTAGGAGGTGTTTCTGCAAGGATTTCATGCCTACTTCCCATCAAATCGGAGGTGTCAACAACAGGATACCTTATCTGATTTATTCTTTGTGCGCCCACAGCCATCTGGAACAATTCCGAGACCTAAATGTGTGTTTTTGTGTGTTCTTCAACACAATCGAACTCCTGATCGATTGAATCGAAGAGAAAAACGCTGACACACTTTTTTCCCCTAATAATTCTACTTACATATACATGTATCTATCTTCTTCAACCGAAAATCAAACGCTATTGCAATTATGAACAGGAAAAATCAAATTATGGAAGGGAGACACTCGGGATACTTTCAATTTCTCTCAATTTACTATATATACCACATGTACAGATGAACACGCTCCGACACTGTAAAGTAAAATCATACACGAAGGAACTGAAACCCCCCAAGTTCATCACATATGAAAAACCTAAATTGAAGACGAAGTTGTGATGTCTACAGAGAAACGAATTTTAAAAAAAGAGAACTCCAGAAGACTATAGAGACTGTAAGACATTGAAATTTGACACCTTATGTTAACGAACCATTGCAAAAAATGTAATCGATGCTATCGAAAAGGATCTCGGAAAGTGACAATGATTATATCATGAAAGGGGATTACTTGTTTATTTGTTTTGAGCTATGAGCTATATACATTCTTTGACTAAGAATAAGATAGCTATACATACATACATACATACATGCATGTATGTATACTATTGAGAATGATGTTGAATTTTCAAGTGATTTACAGGTGCAATTTCATGGACCCTCCATCAATTCCTTCGTCCTCTCTCTCTCTCTCTCTCTCTCTCTAAGGTTTATGATTAAGAAGATATCATATTGCAAAATGGTCCTTGGACTATTTCTAACATGTACTTTTCATTTTTCATCTTTTGTATTTTCTCTCCTTCAAATGACAATTTATTCTTAATACTATGTTTTTTTTCTGAAGATATATGGATTTTATTTTATACAGAAATAAAAGAATAAAATCATCATCATGTTCATACTAAAATAAGTTTAAAAAATTCGAACATTCCAGTTTCTCATGTATGATAAAACCTAAGAAACAAACTTCTCTGATATAATAATTTTATATTCAAAAAATTAGCATATCTATTTATTAATTTAATTGAAGATGGGTTATGGGTAACCACACGCTAACCCACCATTTCCTTTATTACTTTTTATGATCTCTTATTTATTTATATTAGTTACAAAAGTGAACCATACACTTTTGTAATTTATCATTCATTTTGTCTTTTTACTTTTGGATTCTCATTAATAATATTATATACTAGTATATGTTTGTGTGTGTGTGTTTTTGTTTGGTGTTGATAATAGATTCAAAGGGTAACGACTAGCATGTATGATCTTTCCTTTTATATATATATATATATATATATATATATATATATATATATATATATATATATATATATATATATATATATATATATATATAGGGGATAGGGAATATACATTACAGTCCCACCTAAGCTTAGGTACTAAACCTCTAAAATATGTCGTTTTAACATGCCAAATGTGCTCGGTTTGGCTTCACTTGGTAAATATATCATCCTCCATAACATTTCTCTCTTTCATTATTGTTTTACCATCTCTGTTGCTTTCTTCAATTATCGTTTATTACTTCACCACATTACTAAACCCTAAACCTAAACCCTAAACCATAAACCCTAAATCTAAACCCTAAACCTTAAACCCTAAATCCTAAACCCTAACCCCTAAACTTAAACCCTAAACCCTAAATCTAAACCCTAAGCCCTAAACACTAAACCCTAAACCCTAAACCGTAAACCCTAAACCTAAACCCTAAACCCTAAACCCTATTGTGTCGATCTTGAATTTACATCTTGAAGTATTAACCGTGAATCCATTAACCGTAATCTTTATATAGTAAAACAATGTATTTTCAAGAGGTTTAGTACCTAAGCTTAGGTGGGGTTGTAATATATATTCCATTTTCCCATATATATATATATATATATATATATATATATATATATATATATATATATATATATATATAAATCCAGGATTAATTGACCGGTGTAGCAATTATTTGTATTTTTAGTTCATTTTGGTAACAATGTTTTTTTTTTGGTAAAATAGGTCAGTAAACAATGTGTTCCTTCTATTCTTTGTACGATTTGTAGGCTGAAAAAAAAAAGAGTTTGAGCATTTTATCTATCTGATGTGAAATGGTTAATAATGTTTATGGAATGGTCGGTTGATGGGTAAACATAGATATGATGGTTCTCACAAATGTTGTTGATGTTTTCCCTTTGATGGAAACCATGAGGATTTCGATGTACAAAAAGATGGCAATGAAAACGATCATTTTTCAGTTTTGCGGATGCTTTTGTCAATAATGTAATGATATCGTGTTTGAGAACAAAACGAATAAGAATAATATGATAGTTGAGCTTATTGTTGATTATTTATGTGAGTAGTTTGTGAATAGGAATATTAAACTAGCTATCAAATGGATTGAGTGGATATAAAATCCAATGAATATCAGGCTAAATAAAGTTTCTTTTCTGTAACACCTTGCTAACTTTTTAGTATAAATGTATAATATTTCAAGTGTTAAAAAAAGTTTGCTAAAACTTAAGAAAACCGGTTATTTGGATCAACGGTCAATGAGATTGTGAATATTCTATCATCAAGAGTAGATATTGGTTAAGGTGTGATAAAAAATCAAAACTGAACAACTGAACCAAACCAAATGATATTTGTTTATGATTCGGGTTATTCGTTTATTTGGTTAATTCGGTTTGGTTAACCGAATAAAGATACTTTATTTGGTTTGGTTTTGGTTAAAATTTTCTTATTTTGACTAAGCCGAAAAAACCGAATAAAGTATATAACTAATATATAGTTTTGTAGTTTTATATCTATAAATGAAAATTTATATTTAAATTGATGGATTAGTTACTAAAAATGATTTTGATAACTCATTATTTAATTATTAACCATTATAATCCTATAATTGTTTATATATTATATTAAAAAGCAATTAATTAGCAAGTGTTAATTAACATTTGGTTATTTCTTTCCTCTTCATATACGAGTAAAGTTTTATTAAATTGTTTTTACAACTTGTATGACTCAATCGACCCTTCAAGATAAGATATTGTGAAAGACCGAATATAATATGTGATGTATTAATGTATTTTTTTTTTCATTTGGTAAAATTTTAATAAGTTATTTTTCTTCTAATTTAAATATTTATTTTTAAATGCAGAATTTTATTTGGTTTACAGGTAAATCGAATCGAATTAACCAAAACCGATTAAACCGAACCTTATTTGGTTTGACTATAGTTAGTTTTAAGATGTAAAAAACCGAAAAAACCACCAAATAACACCCCTAGATATTGGTGCTTATTAGTATCAAAAGTATGTGTAATGGCATATTTAGTATGAAAATTTTAGTTTAGTGATACAATTGTTATACCAAATATTAGATTAGTAACATATTTTAACATATACATTATATATATATATGTATATGTTGATCTGGCACACATCATAGAAAAATGGTGTAAAATCATAACAGGTAAATAATATATTTACTGAGTGTTTTTTTATCAAAGAATTATATTATAAACATATTTAACATGAAGAAGTTAATATGATACCGTAAGTGACAAATAAACTAGTTTGTGATCAAAATGAATAAATCATTATTATATTAATTAACTGAAAGAAAAATACAAAATCATAAACTAAAAAACATTCATTTCCCCATATAAATATAAAATTTCGTCCACTTTGCAAATTTAGTACAGAAGCTCTGTAGTTTAATATTCTTTTGGTAGAAAGTATTGATAAAGAAATAGTAGAAGGGCCAAACTTGTAATCCCCGAAAAACTCACGGTTTCTTCATTGTTAAGCTTCCAATTTCCAAGGAAGAAAAACCAAGTAAATTTATATACTATAATTTTGTATAATGTTAGAAAAATATAAATAATTTAGAAGAAGGTAACCAGGTAATAATATTGTTGGTTGAAAGATTCGAGACTCTATAATAAAATTTCATTTCTCAACCTTTGACTTCTCATCATGGGGATAAATTTTAAGTTATAGTTGAATACTAGAATAATATTTTTCAGTATATATAAGCAATTTGAACATATATCGTTAAAAATAATAATAATAATATATAAACGTTTGTGCTAGAAAAATCTATTTAAAATCTTTCATAACCTTTTGTACTTAGTAAGCTTAATGAACACACCAAGATTATACATATATAGCCATCCACCACCTATTTCACTCGATGTGTCTTCAATTGCCTAAAGATTTAATAACCAAATATTAGCAAGTTTCTTTCAAAATTCGACATATACCCACTGTCATTTAATGCTAGTGTTGACTTTCGTGGTCATAGAAGTCATTTTCGACTCCAAATCAAAAATATCTAACATATGTTTTAAACCTGATCAGTTCAATCCTCATAAATATAAAAAAATCTGCTTATGTTAAATGGTATATAGAACATAAAAAATAGATGATAGGTTGCATTTTGAAACAAGTATGTCTAAGCATACAGAATATTGTGATTTCTTTATTAATCGAAGAAACCGAGGTACGAAGGAATATCCTAGTACGAGATGCTCAAGAGAAATAGTCAATTGTTGAACAAAACGTATAATAATGTTAACAAATAGAGGACTAAGTCTTTAAATTAAACCCGATGAGAAGTTGCAATAAAATATCTACAGATAAAATAAAATAATTACCCAATCTATCGATTTTTTTTATAAGCTCACCACACCTTCAAAAAATCGTGTCTGCAAAACAATATAATTTGCACATATGTTTATATCTATTCTATATACAGGATGATAACTATAAAAATGGTTCCTTTTTTTTTTTACTAAGGTCTAAAAAAATCCAACTTGCAACAATGGTCTTTATTTGAAAGTTTCCTTATGGTTTTAGTCCCTCAAATTAACACCGTGAATTTATTTATAGACAAAATTGCAAAAATTGTCCTTGTGGTATGCAAAATTTTGGGGTTTTAGTCCAAACAGTGATTTTTTTTGGTTTCGTAGTCCTTTTGGAGTGGTTTGTATGTGAAAATGATCCCTCCACAAACTGAAATGACTATAATACCCTTGGGGTATTTATTTTTCATTTTTCTTTCATTATTCTTAAATTTTAATATTTATTTATTTATTTTAACAATTAAAAAAATAAAAAAGGGTCCACCCCTCTCTCTCTCTCTCTCTCTCTCTCTCTCTCTTCCTTATGATCCATCACCCGTTCGTCTCCTTCCCCTGTCAAAGAACTAGAATCACCAGTGATGTTTTCCCGGTTCCCCACTGCCGCCACCTCCATATCCCCTTCCCTTCCGCCTTCTGCCGAGAAACACCACCAGAAGCACCCTCTCCGGCTGTTGCTACCCTTCTCAACCCCCACAACCCCGATTGAAGGCTTGAACCGCCAGAAAAACCGACTCCTTCATGCTTCATAACGAATCAGGAAAAGAAGAAAGAAAGAAGATGTTGCTTGCGATCCCTTTCGAAGACCCATTCCATTTTGTTTGACTGACAGACCAAACACAACCACAATAAGGCTTGATTTTCACCCTTATTGCTTGATTGAACTCCTCGGGACCACCGACAGTCGCTATTGGTTTGATTCCCGATCAATCCTCTTTTCCTTCCTGTGTTGTAGATGACACACACTCCAGAGTAGCAGAAACGGTGATCGATTTCGCCGCCATTAATGGTGAGAGGGTTTGTTTTTGTCCTGTAACACAAGCGATGAAAGAGGGGGGTTCTTCACCTTCGTGGGTTAGTTGAACAATCGAAGGTGATGACTTGAACAGGGCAACGGTGGTGGTGAGGGGCTGAAGATGGTGGTGGCAATA